TAAGTCACGACAAACGCAAGAGCCCTAAACCCTTCGCGTACAGCATGTTACAGAATATTGCAGTAGCTGACTGTACATTATGGTACGATGTATCTTTTTGATTGTATATAGAAACATATATACATGACGTATAGTATACGAAAGCAATGTAACATAATTACTTGCAATATTCCATACTACAGCATACAGAAACCAATGCCAGCATACTAGACTAAAATATAGTATATGATAACACAGTACAGCATATTATAGTTTACTTAGCATGCTAGAAGATGCTTGAATATATATTACGTTCTAGTACATTCTAGGATTCTCGCACATTAGAGAATATCGTAACATATGCTAGTATGTTATGATATATTACAGTATATCGCAGCGTATTATATAATAAAATATAATATATCGCAGTATAGTCTAGAAGATAATACAGTATACTATAATACATTATCGTATGTAAAAATCTATTCGAATATATTACAGAATTTTGGAATATACTAGAATATACAATAGAATATTAAAATGTATTAAAGCATACTATAATCTATGATAGTAGTACAGTCTACTATGGCGTATTATAGTAGGCTAATAATATAAAAATGATAAGAAGAATATATTATGGAATAGTGTAATATATTACAGCACTATAGAGCTGGTTACAGTAATGTAAAAAATATTCTAACATATTCTAGTCTTACAGCATATTATGGCATATTATAGAATATTGGTGTATTATAATTTCTTATGATACATCTAGAACAGTATGGTGTATTGAGGCATTATTGTTGACTACAGTAGATTACGCATATCATTACATGATGTTATGAAAAAGTTATAGGATACTATTCTATACTATATTATATTGGTTATTCTGAATTTAAAAAATTCATAACAACCTGGTAGTTTCACAGATAATTCCAAGCATTTCTCATTCTATGTTTTTATTCATCAAGCTAGGTTTCTGTGCACAGACGTTGCTAGTTTGCACGTGACAAAAAGATGAATTGTTTAATACATTCAAGAATGTATAGATTATTCTATATATTACATATACTGTATTTTTCACATATATTATATATGCTATACTATATGTTCTATATTATGTATTCTGTCTGATAGCATATAAAATGTAGAGTATACATATAATTATACGGTATGATATATGATATTAATATAGAATTTAGGATATGACATATTATATATATACATATTCAGGATATAATTTCTAATATCTACATATTCTATGGAATTCTATATGAGTTGAACCGTTGTCTCGCTTTAAGCAGAGGAAGCGAGAAAAACACGAAAAACGCGAAAAC